TAGAAACCGATGCAAGTGATTACGCGGTTGCGGGAATCCTTTCATGCAACAGTGATGGGAGGTTAATCCCAATGGAGTTTATGTCGAAGACTCTATCCCAGGTAGAAATAAGGTGGCCAACCCGGGAAAAGGAAGCTTATGCAATAGTAGCGGCGTTAAGAAAATTCGACGTTTACATTCGAGGACGGAAGTCAATTGTTTACACTGACCACAAAAGCCTGAGTGAATGTTTACCGCGAAGAAAGGGAAAATTGCGAGATGGGCTACCACACTTCAAGAATACGATTTAACCATACGGCACAAGAGTGGTGCCGAAATGATGCATGTGGACGCGTTAAGTCGTCTAGAGAAAAGCGATACTATAGTGGAAGATCGCATGGTGTGTCCTGTAACAATAAATCAAGTAGATTCTCCGTTACCCAGCTTACGATTGATCCAAGAAGAACAAAGTCATGTACCAAATACGGAAGTTCAACGTTTCGGTCTCGTGTTAGAGCAAGGGTTACTGTTCCACCCGAAGGGTGATTCCAATCATTAGTCACTTTCACGAGAGCGGGGTCGGGACCCGTTGTGGAACGGTACGAACTTTCAAGTCCTGTCAGAGATTATTTTGGTGGCCAAAGCAAATGCAACGGGTGCAGCTCTATATAAAGTCATGTCTGATTTGTCAACGAAGCCGTTGTGGTACAGAGCGATTTCAAGGACTAATGCGTTCGTTTCCAATTAATCAAGTCTTCGAGAGCATGCATATTGATTTCTGGGCACCCTCAAGTTGTCAAGTTGTAATCTTAACTATGATAGATGGGACATCAAGATGGGCAGAAGGTGGGCAGAGGCTGTTATTGTTAGAGATAAAACTGCAGACACAGTGGTTTCAAGTTTTATTAAATCCTGGGTTCCATATGGAGTTCCAAAGGAGATTATTTGTGATAATGAAAAGTCTTTCCACGGACTGATGATGAGGGAGTTGGCCAAGCTTATGGGTACAGAACTTGTAGCTATTACCCCTTATCATCCTCAGGGTAATACCCCGGTTGAATCCTTTCATCGGCATTTAAGGAAGCACTTCGATAGGATCAGACGGACGGGTGGTTTAGATTTAGAGGAGGTATTGGCGCTTACAATGTATATATACAGGACTAGCTACCATACGGCACTTGAAGACACACCAGGTCGTTGGCTTTTTGGTGTCTCAGTGACCATGCCGGAAGAGCGGGAAATTGATGATTTAATGTTTGACACAAACGCTAGTCGAATTGAGTGGTTACAGAAAGAGAGGGGCCAAACTCTCGAACGAATGAGACTCTGAAAAGAATATTCGGAAGAGGAACGAACAGCGAAGAAATACCAAAGTCAAACGAGGGATGTTAGTCTTACAAAAAGATCCAGATCAAGTGGGCAAGAAACTCTGGAATTTACCCAAGAAGCTGATTTCTGTAAGTGAGTCAGGCTATCGGGCACGAGTTCGAGATATCGGTTCCGGAAAAGTTCAAGAGCGACATTGGAGTCGATTAAGACCCATTGATCCTCCTAAGAATCCAGAACAATTCAACTCTTGGTTGAATGAATTTGGTCAGGAAGGAATTGAACTAGGAGACGAAGATCTTTTAGAAGAATTAGGAGCTGAGACCCAAATCCCACAAGTTTCTCCTTCTTTAGAAGACTCACCCGTACAGGATTCGAATCTGTTTGATGAGTCGGAGGCAGAACAAATTGAAGAAAGGCGAATCGCGTTACCTGGTCTAAGTAGCGGTTTGTTCCGTTGGCGCGAGCGCGGGAGGCTATGGAGCGAATCACGTAACGCGGCAGATCTTGTGGATATT